TGGGTGGTACAAGCCCATGATGGATCAGCACAGATGGAGGACAGAACTGCTAGTTTGATTATTATTATTGCAGGGGTCGGCAGGTAGTTACATATTTTTTTCCATTTTATTAGATAATATTGGACTCCTCATACCACCAGTGACCCCCTCCCCCCAGCCCTTCTCATCAGCATTGACCCCCCGCCACTGGCTAGTGACAATCTTGTATGCCTCAGCAAGGTGTTTCCCAAGGCCGCTCAGCCAGTCAGAAGTCCCAGCTAGAAGAAGCCTGTCAGAAGTCACCAGCTAGGGCATGTGGGTAACTGTAGCTCTTTGAAGGTAGCAAAAGTCCTCAGATACCAGTGAGGGGTGAGTGGATAGGAAGGGTCCACAAGCTATGAAGGAGCTATCGCTGAGCCTCCAGGGATGGCAAGAGGTTCTCTCCCATGCAGGGGCCATTAATGAAGCATTCCTGGGAGATGCTTTCTGCTGTCACAAACCAATTAAAACATTTTAGGGGGATGGCATTTTCCATCTGGTATCGGTGATGTTGTTGCTGTGCTGTCTCAGTTTTTACACCTGTAGTTGTATGTGTACAAATGATCTTAAGCACAAAAATGCCACCAGAATTGCAGGGCAGCTAAGACTGCATCAACAATTAAGGCCTGATTTGTGGGCCCAAGTGTCATTAATTCCTCTGCAAATAACCTCCCAGGGGAAAATAGAAGCTAGTATCAGAGCATTTGATCCTGAAAAGCCAGAGATATTGGCACGTGCTGTGAGTTAATCACATGAGATCTCATAAGAAGCTGGTTGCAGAACAGTCACAGCCTGTTGTGAACATCAAGAATCACTCAAGTTCCAGTCACAATCTGGACTTGCTGCAAATGAGCCTCTTGCCTTTTGTTTCCTGCTATAATTTGCTGTGGCTGGGAGAGCTGATACCTCCTTCTGAGCTACTGCAGTTTAACTGGGAATGGGATTTCAGGGCCTCTAACCCTGCCTGATTGGAGTCCCCTTGCAGGCAAAAATCAAAACCTGTTCATCCTCTGTAGCCATTTAAATGTTCTTCAGTAAAGGTTGCAGTTTTTCTCCTGTGGTTGTATCCTGAGCATATAGTTAGCCTCAGAGCTATCAAGCCATAAATATGTGACAGAGGCCTTAAAATGTGTCGGCAGGACTTACTCATAAACAAAAGACCCTGCAAAGACCAGAGGAACAGGAGGCTGGAGGAGGGGGGATATTTCTCCTGTTACAATGTTTTTGACAGTCTCAATGCAACCAACCATCCTGAATGTGGCAGAAGACTTCCAAATTTTGGGGCTGTGCCTTAGCATCCCTGATGACTTCAGGTAAAAACTGATTTATCCTGTTTCTGATTATCCCAGGCTTGCAGCTGATGACAATTAACTTGAATTAGCCATGACTGCTCAGGCAAAAAAATGTTATTTCAGATACACTGCAGGTACTTAGAAGTGGGACCATGGGCTTGTACACCTGTAGAATAAAAAGATTTCCCCTGGGATAAACATGACATCTGTTTTTCCCCACAGAAGTCAGATTTCTTCAAGGACAAAGCCTTTTTGAGATCCTCAGATCCTACAGAATTACAAGCCCATTATTCCACTTTAAGTACCTGTGAAGTATCCGAGATAACTTTTCCCCAGAACAATCCTGGCTCATCCAAGGGACAAGCCTGAGAATATTTTTTCCCAGCATGATTTAGTGAATTTTAGTTACCAAACTGCAAGTGTAAAGGGCTATACCACTCCCAGCTTTTGAGACTGGTCAATCAGAATGCAACTCAAATGCAGTGTCTGTTTTTAGTAGGCATCTGTCTTGCAAGGCAATAGAATTATGCCAAGTGGAACATCAGCTTGCTGAAGGTAATCCTCACTTGAAAATAAAGTAAAACTGGAGTGACCCCTCCAGGGTGCAAAAGCTTGGGCAGTGATTATGGAGACACTGAGCTGTCTGCACACCAGTGTCCCCCTCTCAGCCTTGCTGGTTTAATCCAAAGGAGCAAAGGAGAACATCCAGAGAGTGGGTTTTCATAGATTTCTAGGGTCGGAAGGGACCTTGTAGATCGTCGAGTCCAACCCCCTGCTCTAGGCAGGAAAGAGCGCTGGGGTCAAATAACCCCAGCTAGGTGCTTGTCCAATCTTTTCTTGGACACCTCCAAGGTAGGGAAAAGCACCACCTCCCTTGGAAGCCCATTCTGTATTTTGGTAACCCTCACCGTAAAGAATTTCTTCCTGATATCCAATCCAAATCTACTCTCCTTTAGTTTGTGGCCATTATTTCTAGTAACCCCGAGGGGCATCCTGGTGGGGGCACCCGGTAAAACAAAGTATCCCCTATCCCCTGCTGCCCCGCCATGATGAGTTTGTAGAGATCACCTCTCAGCCTTCTCTTTCGGAGGCTGAAGAGGTTCAGGTCCCTCAGTCTGTCTTCATAGGATCTTACGCACAGGCCCTCAACCATGCGAGCTGCCCTTCTCTGAATCCTCTCAAAGTTATCCACATCCTTCCTGAAGTGCGGCACCCAAAACTGGATGCAGTACTCCAGCTGTGGCCTGACCAATGCCACATGGAGAGGAAGCATCACCTCCCTAGACCTGCTCGTGATGCACCTGCTGATGCAAGAAAGAGCGTGGTTAGCCTTACTTATTACCTCAACACACTGGCAAC